AGAAATTGATCTGAATGTCATATAAATTTCAGTAAATAGTAACCCTGCTTTAAAAATAGAGAGTGTTAGCAAATCAACCAAATTTCTGTTACCCAGGATATGTTAAAATTAAAATGGTATGTTTGTTCCAGTGCATAGTTAGCATTATTTATAAGCATATGAATCAATCTCAGATTGTCTATTGCAGCAAAATATTATGGGGTTTGGTGGTCTTACTTCAAGCTCTCTTTGTGTTGCCATCTCTGCTCTCTGTTGAACCAGCCACTGGACTTATTCTCAGAGTACTGTTTGGAGCATGGGATCCCATTCCCCAGCACAGAGCTGAGCCAGGAAGACCGGGAGCACCTGAAGGAGTGCTATGTGTTTGAGGACAGCTTAGAGGCACCAATCTTGGCCTATTTTCCATTGGTGTGTCATACCTTCCAAAAATACAAGGCACCGAGTAAGTTGACAGCAGTAATCATTTTTTGAGATTATCTCATCCAGTTGATCCATTGAACTTGTTCCTACTCCAAAACAAGGCACTGGCAAGCTTCTGAGTTGGCTAAGTTATTATAGTCTTAGTCCAGCTGTGATGCATACAGTATTGGGCAGCTAATCAGGGATTGGAATGAAGCGGTTTAAAAATAAAAGCATGAGAAGCTGTATGTTGAGGGAAACCCCCTCTGGCACCTGAAACACGTCAGTAACTTTGACAATAAAGAAGAAGACACAGCTAGTAAGTTATATCCACTGGTAATTTATGCTGTCACCTCACAGTCTCATGAAGAGATATAATGTTTACTTGGTTAACAAAGTTGGAATTCTCCTATTACTTTTTTTACATGAAAAAATTGAGAATAGAAAGTGCTGAAAACATGTAATGAAGCAAAGGCTTTGCCAGAGTAACAGCCTGCTTTGATACCTATAATTTTTGAAAAGTTGCCAGATTGTTTCCTTTAGTTCAGCAATAGAAGAAATGTTTGTTTCACTAGAAAAAAAAAAAAAAAAAAAAACTACTTGGCAAATTCAGTTTCAGTTTACAAATACTTTTACATGCATCCACTCCAATTTTATTATTCCTAATTTTCTATGATCCAGGAAACTTTCCTCAATACCTTTGCTTGGCTCTGGTTTCAGATGTGGAGCGCAGTCCCGCAGAGATGGAGCAGGGAAGAGTGGATGTGTCCAACTGTGCTGCTCCCTATGGCACTGGCCTGCTGACATACACTGAAGAGAATTTCAACAAGCTGCTTAACCTGTGCAGCTACAACATCCTGAATAACAAACACTTGATTCTCCAGGCTCTGCGAACTGCAGTGCAACGAAAGAAGCAACTTAAAAACTATTCATCACCTAATTCGAGTAAACACACTTAAAGTGTATTTAGGAAAAAAAAAATCATCAGAAGGAGATACACAAATGTTCTGATACTGGACTAATAAATATTCACCTGCTGCAAACTCACAGATGTTTGTGTTGGCAACAGAGTTTGTGATACCAACTCCTTTGGTATCCTTTGGTACTCATTTGACTTCTGCAACAGTAAGATGGCTGGTGTGTAGCTGCTGCTACAGTTTTATTCCCACTGCTATCCAAATAACAGGGCACTTGTCTTAGAAAAATGGTTTCTTAAGGAAGTAAATTTAACTGGTCTTTCTTAGAACTTGTTTTCTGATTGTTGTATGGAAAAATATACATGCCCTGTTGGGGCATGGCAGAGTAATAGCTACTGTTCAAATACTAAGTAGCCATGCATAATCTTATTAAAAATAAGAATTTTGTAATTGAAATCATTGAAGTTTGGGGGTTTTATTAAGTTCTATGGACTCAGCTCAGCTAGCAAGTTGTTCTGGAAAAAGTTACCCTTGCTTTTGATAACAAGAAATCCAATATTGAGCGAACAATGAGCTTTGTGAATAACCTTTGAGGAAAAATGAAAGAAAAGCTGTCACTTCAACTATGGAAAATGAAAAATGGAAGGAAACTCCACTTTCAATGGTGCAGGTGACTGGACTGATGATAACTCAGGAGATAACATTATAATATTGTTACCTCTAAGCCTCTCCTTTTCTGTGCATCAGTTCGTTTAACAGGAGATAACACCACCAGTGTCTGTCAAGATTTGCTGCAATATCAATCAAACCAGTAAGTCTCCCTTCATAAGAGGAAACTGTTGGCAGTAACCTTTATGTGTCCTTTTCATGGATCTAAAGCAGTCAAGTCCAACAACTTTGCTTTTCCTCCGTTACTGATAGATCTTTCTGTTTCACTGGCTCTCTCATGCAGAAAGCCAGTTTTTCACCTTCTTTCTTTGCCCTTGGTAAGGATAATTTGATGTTATGTGTCACTAGTAAGACTGCAATAGTTTTCTGTGAGTAAAGAAGAAAAGGAAGTGTCACTCTGACAGCTCAGTTATGCTCATGAATATATTTTTAAACAATAATGAAATGGAGGTTTAAAGATGTGATTATTTTCTTTTGCAAAGGATCTCTTCAGTATTTTAAAGATGTTCAAGTTTCATTACTAGCACTCCAGGAAGAATGAATATAAGCAGTTCAGTGTGTGCCTGTGTATTCCACCCACTGGGTTTTGGTGGTTGCAACACTTGGAACTGGGCCTTCAGCTTTACTCACCCAAGGTGTGGTGATGATGTGTGCTTTTGGCCGCTGATCTGGAAAACTAGGATGGCTTAGAATCAGCTGAGGAAAGGGAGTCTGCTTTCAGAAGTCTGGGCCTATTTAGCAAGCCACTAAAAAAATCTTAGGTTGCCTAAATGGTCTAGCTTAGCAGCTCAGTATTTTGACTTAAGTCAGACAGATGCTGGTGCTTGTGTTAGGATCTGGCTCCAAGCACCTAACACTGCATGAAACTAATGTTTTAGCTGGAAGAGCCAAGCTTAATGGTCTTGCCTTGGTGGCTTGTGAGTTTTCTCCAAAATGGACTGATTTTGTTTCTTGTTTGGGGAAGGAAAGGCTGCTTCTGTTAAAGACCTATTGATGACTTTCACATTGCAGAGATACTTCAGAATCTTGCCTGTGATGTGACAGTGAAAGGCAGCATGAAAGGACAGGGGAAGAGATATTTGTTAGAGTGTCTTGCCAGCTATTAATCAAAAAATAACAGAGACATTCATTATTACTGGTGGTATTTTTCAAGGATGGATCTGAGTCTTAGGCTCAGTGACATATCAGTGGGATTTTTCAAAATGATTCAGCATTGATGCAATTGTTCTATTTACAACCCAGGTAGGTCAGCAGCAATTTTTTTTCTTTTGGTAAATACCTGTTTGTGACCTGTCACACAAGCTCTGCTGAATGTAATGTCATGATCCTGGAAACAATTAGCTGTGAATCTTTGCAGTCTCTATTAGGGCTCAAACATCTCTTAGTCTGACTGTAGATGAAGTTACCCCCTTAATTAGCTGGCAATATGAGGTGGCTTCTTGATATTCTGAGAATTGGTTCAGATTGAAATTGGCTCTAGATTTCCCTGTAAAGGTCCTGGGCTATGTGTCTTGCCTAATTATTGGGTAATTAGCTGACACAGGCTGGTGCTGGTATTCCTCACAGCTGTGGTCTGTTGGGGTTAGGGCAGTGAAACAGGTGCTTGAAGAGTGCCTGAAGTGTTGAATGAACCTGGAAAGGTCAGGCAACCTCTGAGTGCTCCTGCAAAGGTAAAGAGAAGTGCTGTTGGATGCTCAGGTCTACAGAGTACAGGGAAGGGCAGAGATAAAGGTGTTGAGCTACTGGTTTTTGAGATGAGGATTGCGTTTGAAATTCTGTTGCAACAAATCTAAAGGCAGGATTGCATATATTAACAGATGGGAGAACACTTCAGTGATGATTTTTGAATGGAAAAGCAGCCCAATTACTTCATGTGAGTGAGTAGGAGGAGCAAGATTTTATCTCTCCAAAACATATCAAGGGCATGTGGAGTTGTTTTAATGCAGTTTCTCAATAGTCTTTTGAAAGCACAAACCCTCCTTCATAAATGTCATAATCAGAATAGTGTCTCAAGCAAAAATGTAATTCCCCCACCCCTCCACCTAGAATGATCTCTCTCTCTCCAATGACTAAAAGAATATTGTAGAGTTTTGAAGAACAGGTATTTTGAAAGTGTGGTACGTAGAAACATGAAAATAAAATGCCAACATAATAATCATATTAATGTGAATGTTATATACATATATATATAGGGGGGAATATTTAGTTTGGTTTTGGGTTTTAGTGTTTCTGTTTGGTTTTTTATACCGAAGAGTTCCTTAAAATTAACCTCAGGCCAAAAATTATGAAGTCAAAGTTAAGTTTTTCAGAGTCTAAAATCCAACACCTTGGGATAGGAAAGTGATGCTTGTCATCCATGGTACACCTCGTCTTTGGAGATTATTGAGTTCAAGTCCTTTGTGTAACTAGAGTTGGACATGAGCTTCTTGCTCTTCTTTGACTGGCAGGATGAGGTCTTAGTAGATTTTGTAGCTTGTGGAAGCATTATACAAAAAGAAGGAAAACAAAGTGAAAGCCCAGGGAAAATCCCAAGCTACAGATATGACGCTACATTTGTTAAATTGCTTAATTTGTTAATATTGAATAATTCTTTTCTAATGTGACATCTGGCTAAAATTTTTTAACACCTTTAGCATATGCTTTGAATGTTTACCCTTCTTGTTATGTTCAGGGTGTGTAAATTATGACCACTCCCATTGTCATCCCAAGGATGGTTCAAGGATACTCTTCTCTTGCAGTAAGATTAAGTCCCCCATTAATCATACATTTTGGTAGTCCTGGATTATCAGAAGGTGACAAAGTGGTACAGAAGGCAATTGTGGAGTATTGAAAGCAGCTGTTATTCCTCCCTGTGACCTATTGCAGTCAGATATACAATTATCTGAATGTCATGATGGGGAAACTAGTGTTTGCAGCTGGCCAGTTTAGATCAGAATGATATATTTTCTCCACCTTGCCTTAATTAATACATAGGTGCAAAATATGTGAATGTGAATGTGCACTAGAAAGTGCGTGATGGCAGAGGAAAATGACATCTTCCTTTTTACTCTCCTTGTTAATGTTCAGAGCTTTAAAGAGACTGTTGAGTGTTCTGCCATCAGTTACACAGTCTCTCTAATCTTCAAAAATCCAAGTAAGAGTGTAAGTAGCATGCATATGATGATCTCTGGCAATTTAAAATTATTAATGTGGAAATGTGATTGCTAAAAAGAGGCAATATATGGTTCTTTAGACTTTGGGTAAATTCAGACATGAATTTGCTTAATGAACGCTTAATGATTGTCTTTGAAATTGTCTGCAAAAATCCCAACATAATGCATGACCTTGGAAGTTGTAATATTTTGGAAATTATGATCCTAGGGACACATTTCTACTTCTAAAAGTCCAATGGCACAAACTGCAAATTCATGATTTTTTATTTTAAGCATGTGGTGTAGTAAACATCAGTGAATAAGCCATCAAGTTTTCTCAGTGCTGACAAGGACTTACTGTCAGAGGAGGTGTGAGCATTCAGTGCTTAGTCCTATCAGGTATTCCCTGCATGAATGAGAACCTGTTGAGACTGTTATTCTTGCCTTCCATAAATATGCCAGCTCTTTAAAACACAGTATATTCCAAAGTATATTTTGTGTGATGTGGACAGGTAGGGGTTAAGGGAGAAAATGCCAGCCAAAAACCTGATGGTTGTCATGAGCAGGAGAGGGAGAAATATTTAGGAATGTGTTTTGGGAATGGCAACAATGACATTGTTTTGAGATGAGGAAAACAGTCTGAACATCAGGAAACCATTTAGTGGCTAAGATGCACTGACTCTGGAATAATTTTATAAATTGTGAAGTGCTGTCTCATGTATGGATCTTAAAAACAGTGTGGGTAAGAGAATGTGGTGTCAGGGAGTCCTGTTTGGCTGTGAAACAGTTGGGATGATATAAATATGTATAGGTGTATATATCTGCCGGGACAACTTGGGCAAAGTGAGCTGGATATCCTACCCTCTTTCCTTTGATAGAAATTTTGCAGATGTTTTTAATGAAAATTAATTCCTACTTTAAGTTTTAATACTGGAATATTTCCAGGGAACATTCTTTCAGAAGCTGGAAAGAACTAGTTGTGTGAGAGGGCAAGCAAGTGATTCTCAGCTGTGACTGCTCCACCTGAGTTTGCTCCTAAGGATTTAGCACAGATATAAAGAGAGAAGTTATAGGAGGTATTTTGTCTTTGCATCTCTTGGTAGAGATGCACATGTTCATTGGAAATATCTTTTGATTGTTCCTTTAAGGAGCATTTCAGAAGCTGTACATTCACGTTTATGAGCCATTTTCCTTTGATTCTGAGAAGACAGTGTAAAATGTGCCTATGAAGCAAGCAGCTAGCCATTAAATACTTCAGACAAAAACCATCAGAGAGTGCCACTGCATATTTTGAAAAAGATCTTCTGAAGAGGCATCACATATGTTTATCACACAGACATCAACATAGAAGGAAGCCACTTGTATCTAAAAAGAGGATTTTACTCCAGTGACATTCCTTGGACAGCACCTCCCCTCTTCCTCTGTGCAGAATTATTTTGATATCAGCCTCCATAGCACAGGGGAGTGCACTAAGGTGGCATCCACTGCAGTTTACAAGGTTGCTTTCTTTGCCTGCATCAAGTGAATTTGTATTGAACACCAATACAAGTAAGATTGGTTTAAAATAATAATTTCAGTTTCATGATGCAAGACTGAGTACCTGCTGCCTCCTATCATCAATCAGAGCGGCCAGAAAGAGTCTGGCAGAGTCAGAGTCTGCTCTTGCATGCTCCAAAATCTACCAGCCTGCACATGCATGCCAGTTTAGGGCTACCCTGATACACTTTACAAGGCAGTGAGTCACTGTACACCGGGGTGCAGAGCAGCCAGGGAGGGTTTTGTGTCCTGGAGTTTCTCACAGCGTATCTGCTGGGCTCGCTGTGAGAGCTAGCACACACAGATCCCTTTGAAGTAAGCTCTGAGGGTGGGTGAACTGCTGTGCTCCCCAAGGCCATGCAGGAGAGCACAACTCACTCTCCTGCCTCACCCTTCCACTCCCAAATTTCACCGGCTGCTAATAGCTCCTCCCTTCCCTCTTGTTTTATATCAAACTGCAAGATTTCTGAACATAGATTAACATTTTTTTCTGTATGTACAATAAATATCTGGGCAAATTAGATTCAGCATGTGTTGAGGTTGCTAAATGTAGCACAGAGATGCTCAAAGTAGCTTTGGGGGTGCTGCAGTCATCCAGTTGTGGCATCACAATTGAGTCACCCTGCTGAACTGCAGGGCTTACCTGCCTGAACTGTGCTGCTATGGGAAGACTGCTATGGGTATTTGAATTTATTGTTTGGAAAGAAGCTGCTGACATCTCTACTGCCTTACAGCATGATGGTGGCAGTGTAGAGATACTCAGAGAGCTGTGATTTAATTAGTCAGAAGCACTTTGCTTGGGGGTTAGAGCTGTTGCATAAATGCAAAAGTTTTCATTACCAGTAGTATTTCAAGAGAGCAATACCTGGGCAGAAAGGGGCTTCAGCACCCTCCTGAACATCGCAGTGGGTAGAAAAGGAATTGCTCTTCATTCTGCTGACTCAGTTGAGGTGCTCTAATAGGCTGCAGGAAGCAGGGAGGTGACTGCCTAATGACTGGAAATAATCAGGGGGTGGGGCAGGAGAGCCTCGTCATAAAATCCTTATTCCTCCACCCCTAACCTGCATGAGGAGTTCCTGCCAGCCATCCGACTCAGTTGCCTTTAACACTGGACTTACATGCAACTGGGACTGCAATGGGATCAAATTTAAGTACAAGTGAGGTAAGCAAAAGAAGGTGATAGCAAGTGTAAAGTGGGTAAAATTGTCTGGTGTTCCAGCGAAGTTGATCACTGAGGAGAACGAGTGATTTGTGTTGTGTGGGCAATCAAGGGAAATTGAGTTTGCTGTTCCTCAGATCTTGTTGCAAGGATGGCTGTCCTAGTCCAGGCTTTTGCAGAACCTCATGGCACACTTGTCTTTTCGAGCCACATTTTAGGGCTAGAAACATTGCTTATTGTGCTTCTGCTTCCGTGTAAAAAAAAGGAAATAAGCTGGAAGAGAGTTGTGATGGTGGTCGGTAAAGGGCTTAATGATGCAGCTAAAAGCATAGCTCTAAATGTATCCTTGAATGTGAGATGTTTTGACATGTCAGCCTAAAGTAAGCATTTAACATGTAGTTTAGTTTTCTTAACTTTGCCTTGTGTTGTTTTTCCTAGACTTTTACGAGCACCTCAGCACCAGCGGTGAGAACGGTAGGTAGCAATTAGCTGGCCCTTCATTAAATGCTGTCCAGTGCTGAATGTAGATCACCAGAAAATATTTTAGGAATTCAATGACTCGGGGGAAAACTGTGTTGCAAAGTTTACTGAGCGTTGAAAAGCTGAGCTGCAACTTCAGCTCTGTAGATGGAGTATTGCCATGGTTTTCCATAAGCTTTAAGTAGTCTGGCTGCTGTTGGTGTCTGATGCTTGTGTTGCACTTTATCTGGGCTGGTTTGTACTTCAACTATATCAAATTATTAATTGCTCCCTTCTTGTGTGTTTTGATTTCTTTCGATGAAATATTCCCATTTTCTTACAGTTTATTCCTTTGTAAGAAGAGCTTTTATGTGGGTCTTCCTAGTGTTCTGGTATTCCTTGTAGCCTTTCTTTGCAGTGTGATGGTCTGTCCTAGAGCTTGCAATTCTCTGTGCAGCACAGCATTCACAGGTAAAAAGGTGGAATAAATGTGGTGAGTTCAGTCTCCTGACACGCTTGATCTTATCAGCCTAGTAGGAGTGGGAGTAGTGCCCAAACTTCTCTGAAGGCTTAAAAGGAGCAAAAGGTGTTTTGTAAAGGCTGAATTGAGGATGAATTCTTTGCACAGGCAAATTAAAAATGGCTGTTAATTAGCAGACATTTATGTTAAGAGGTATTAGCATAAAGGAAAATGTATCAGATAAGCTCCTATGAGCCAGTGAATGGGAGCAAAGGCATTGACAGCAGGATGAGGCTGTCCTCTGGCATTTGCAGTGGGTTTGGGGCTGCCAGTATCAGTTGAAACTCTTTGGAGATCTGTCTGCAAGATGGGCTTTTGCCCCTCCTTCAGTGATATGGGCACTTCCCAGCTTTGCATCCACATAGGGAAACCAGAGTGATACAGAGAATCCTTTAAATGGTGGTAAATTCTGTTTGCCTGTGGAGGTTCGCTGTTATTGATAGTATCTGAAGCCTGGTTGTGCCTGAGAGTCACATATTTTTTCTGTTCTAAGTGAAATGCTGTGGTAAAGACTTTGCACAATTTCTTCAAAAACTGTCTTCTAAAATGATGGAGGTCTCTGTATATAATCTTGCAGCCCTGAGAGGTGTGCTAGAATCATAAATATTATTATTTTGAGTTCTAGCCTGTGTTTTGAAGACCAATCTGATTCTTTTTTAATCTGTAGCGCTTTTTAAATTGTTAGTAGGTCCCTAGGTGCAAGACCTGTACAATTGCATGGCTTTAGATTGTTACTTTTATCTTCAAAGTATTTAGGATGACATGACATGAATAGAGTACCTGCAATTTAGAGCAGGACCCAGAGCCCCTTCTTTCTGCCCTGAATCTCCAAGGTTCACAGAGGTAAAATTCAGGAAGGACTCGAACTTTATTCCTTTTTTTTTCCCATGAAAGTTGGTATTTATGGTAAGTACATAAGCCTAGTACACCTGAGTTGCTTTTTGTTACTCAGTGGCTCAGTCAAGGAAATGAGTTTTCGTTGTCAGAGTGGGTTTCAGAGCAACTAGTAGGATGTGTGGGTTTTCAATTTGAGCAGCTATACACATTAGGAAGATTATGTAAAATAGCTCGTAAGAAAAATTTGTTAGTGCCCTCATGCTGACAGTCAAAAGACTAATACTTTTTAGATCACATAAATTACTGATAAGGACTGGTGTGGTCTTGAGGAAACAAAACACATTGAACTATGGGAATCCTGGTTTCTCAGATTTGGATCCATTCCAACACACATCCAGCTGTGGAACTGCAAACAGGAAGGGAAAAAAAAAAAAAACGCATGAAAATTGCAGTCTGAAGCCACAGAAGTTTTGCATAGCTCTTGGAAAGAAGCAGCCATTGACCCAGTGCTGCTGCATTTGTTTTTATCCTGAAACAAACATGGGGACTTCTACTGACGCGATAAGACCCAGCTACAGGGTATTTTAAAATGGGTGAAATACATATAAAATAGCAGTATAAGGAAAAGTGTTTCTTATGCATTTGGCTTTGCCTGAGGTGAAATCCTGCCTGCCTTTGAGGCTCCAAAATTCTTTGAAGTTAAAAGGTGCCACATACCTGACCCAGGTCAGAATTAGGACAGTGATCTGTGTTTTAAAGTCTTGCTGCTTTTTTTGACAGGGTGAGTGATTTTTTTGTTGCTTTTCATAGCTTTTTAAGTAGTGATGAGATTTATATTCTTCTGTGATGAGAAAATTAAGGGAATAGTGCTTTCCCCCCAAATACATACTCACTTTGATAGCTGCCTTATCTCTTAACATGACTTGGGAATATTGTATGAGTTTCACTCTTTTCTCCTTAAGAAAAAAAAATCTGTGAAAGACTTTTAAGCTTGGAACTTTACTAAAATAGAGCAATTTTAGAGACCAGTTATATAATTCATTCATATGGATGAGCACTCATTTATGTGAACACTCCTATTGCCTTCCCTCAGACTAGATATGTGAGGATTGCACAAGTGCGCCATAGGACTTAATTGAATTTTTATCTGACGTAGGACAGTGTGACCAAGTCTTGCATTTGCAACCTCATATATTTAAGTCATTTCAAAAGTGATCATTAAAATGCCTGGCTTGTGTTTCCGGTTTATGAGGTAAGATTCATGTCTCAGATGAAATAAATATAGAAGCCGAAAGTTGAAGAGTGTGTAATGACTGACTGTAATAACTGGCCTCAGAACTTACCCAGTCTGTGATATGGTCATCATCACATAAAAGGCAAGGATGTGGAAGTCCTTGCCAATTGCTAGGATATTATCCAGTTTAGGCGAAGTTTTTCTGTGTGACTTTGAGTAAGTGGCTGACAGCTAGACTTGGTAATGCTAAAGTTAGGAGTTGTAAGGTTGGACTTCCAGGACTTTATCATGGGAGGGCACTCCACAACCCAAAGTTGAGCACTGAGGATCATTTCCATAAGTTTGCAGAGTAAGATACATCAGAATGGAATTGTAATAGCTGAGCAGAAAATTGCATAAACAGCCAGGTAACATGGACAGCTGGGAACAACTTTCACAGTTCCTATCCCCACATGGCACTTGGCTGCAGGGAGATATCACTATTCATTGAGGTTCACAAAGTAAAGGTCTTGGTGCTTGTTTTCCAATAGCTGAGCCAAGGTCATTCTTTTAAAATGGTGTTAAGCCCAGTAATTATTAGAATTTCCATGGAATGGGAACTTGTGCCCAAGTCAATTTTTCTGTAATCAAGGAATGCAAGTCTCCTCCTTTCTGGATAAGAGAGATGTTCCCCATCTTCTGAAATAACATTTCTGAGGTCAAAACCGCTTACAATTTATTGATTGGGGAAAGCAGGGACAAAACATAAATGTAAAAATCATGTCAGTAGATGTCAGGGACAGACAAGCCTTGGCTGCTGGTCCCTGTGTCTAGGAGGGCTTTTCCCTTTCACCCACTACTACTTTATTCATATAGAAAATTAGTTGTAGCACTTCAGCTGTATAGTCTGGGCTTGATATCTTTTGGTTGCTTGGGATTGGAGAGTGTAATCCTTTTTTGTTTGTTTGTTTGTTTGTTTTTTCCCCCAATAACTTTTTTTCTTTCAAGTCTATCCAAGTTATGCTTTGTGGGCATGTTTGGAACAATGGAGCAGACAGAGGTGTGATACAGTCTTTGTGACAACTGGAATGTCCCACACCTGACAATCCCAGGGCTTGCAAACTGTGCTCTGTAAAACTGCCCTGTGTGAGAGACTGGACAGGTCAGATAATGTAGAACAATATCAGTGACTGCTCTGACCCTCCTGCTGCTTTCTCACTGCCCCTCAGCTCTGCATCTTCAGGCCCCTTGTCAACTCAAAGGGAAGTGCAAGACGATCCTCTGGGGATTATTCAGGTTATTTCTTGGAGACAATTTATGTTCTCTGCTGACTTTTCCGAGGTGCTGAGGTCTTTGTTGGTTAGGACTAGGACCTCCTTCATTACATTGCCTTATTGTCCAATGTCATGTTATGGTCCCAGTTGCTTGACACTCTGGCAAAGCATTGTGAAGCACTTCAGGATAAGTCCTGTGATACTGCTGAAAAGACATAATTTGGCAAAATGTATAGCTTGTATGAAGAAAATAGCAAGGTATGTGTTATTAGCTAACATCAGTGCATAATTTTTGCTTTTCCTGCTTTCTGATTAATATAGGCATTTCTGATGCCTGCCTTAAGCAATAAAGCCCATGTGTTTGTGTTAGGATGCTGTATTAGCTTTGTGAGGTTATAATATATCTATGAAAATAAGAGAGAGAGGGCTTATGGGTAGAGGTAGAATCACAGAATATTCTGAGAACAAAGGGACCCACAAGGACCATGGAGTGATGGACCTGCACAGCACCATCCCCAAGAATCACACCCTGTGCCTGAGAGCATTGTCCAGACTCTTCTTGAGCTCTGTCAGGCTGGTGCTGTGACCCCTTCCCTGGGGAACCTGTTCCAGTGCCCAGAAACCCTCTGGAGGAAGAACTTTTTCTCAGTATGCAACCTAAACCTCCCCTGACCCAACTTCATCTCATTCCCATGGGTTCTGTCACTGGTTACCACAGAGGAGAGATCAATGCTCCCCCTCATATTCCCCTCATGAGGAAGTTGCAGACTGCAATGAGGTCTCCCCTTGGTCTCCTCCAGACTGAACAGGACAAGTGATCTCAGCCATTCCTCATGTAGCCTCTCCTCAAGATCCTTCACCATTTTTGTTGCCCTCCTTTGGACACTCTCTAATAGTTTTAAGTCTTTCTTGTATTGTGGCTAAATATGCCACAATATGTGCATAAAACTAAAACTGCCCCCAGCACTAGAGGTAAGGCCACCCCAGAGCAGAGCAGAGTGGGACAATCCCCTCCCTTGCCTGGCTGGCCATGCTGTGCCTGATGCCCTCCAGGACAAGCCTGGCCTTCCTGGCTGCCAGGGCACTGCAGACTCGCATCCAGTTTGCCACAGCCCAGGACCCCCAATGTATGTTTCCTGGGGCACTGCTTTCCAGTATCTTGTTCCCCAGAGTGTATTAGTGTCTTGTTCTCACTAGCTGGTACAGATAGAAAGATTAGATAAAATTTGGGGCACATTAAAATCTGTTTTTTTTCTAAAACAGAATCAGTAAGTGGAATGCTAAATATCAGTTTAAGCAAGTGTTGAGAAAAATGGTATCTGTACATAAATTTGTTTAAAATGAAAGATGGTATATATCAAAGAGGAGATATTAGTATGTGAGAGAGAGTAAGAAGTTAAGCTGTTATCTCAAAGGTGAAATGGGGAAAGGGTTAATTTATAGCCTGAGGAATATGAAGATTCATTAGTATGAGCCATGGAGGTTATGAGTTATTATAGACTTAATATCTCTGAGCTCAAGGTTTCTGATATCTAGTGGGGATGTGAGTTAATTCCCAGAGATCAACTCTGGGATGATTTTTGTAGCTTTCTGCTGGGGGTCAGAGCAGAAGATCAGAGGTTCACCAGAGTCTTCAAGAGGAGTATCTGATCATGTCAGCTGCATTTCTATTTTTGGCTATGTGCAGAACTTTGTGCTGGTGTCGGAGCTTGTGCTGGTGCATGGTAGACAGTTCTGCTTTCAAGCTCCTGTGACAGTATTTGGTGTCCCAGAGACAGCCTGTTCCACTGCAGGCAGTGGTGTGTGAGAGGGGAGCACACCCACGAGTGTGCTCTAGGGGTGTTTGTTGTGATAATAAGGGAGCCGTGAGCGGATGACGTGATCTTTATCAAACCAAACTCTTGGCACCTATCATTAACTTGAGTGATTTTGAAACATATTACTTCTCTTTCAGGCCTGAAAAGAGTTCTGTGCCAAAAATCTGCACAGATTTTTGACTGCTCTGCTTGGTTTGATGAATTGTATTGTCTCAACCTTGAAAACTGTTCTGTCTACATCCTCAAAATTTCAGAGTTGCAGTAGTCTGTGACTACAGGCTAGAATAATAATGTCATCTTTTTTTTCCTTTTTTCCTTTTCTTAATTTTTGTGCAGGCACCAGTATCTCCCTTCAACTTGCTCACTGTAAAAATACTAAGAGTGAAGAATGCCCGGAAGGCAGACTTGCGTGAGTACTTCTACTATTGGTGCATGGTTCTTATAACTTTTCAAAGAAAATATTTGGACAATGTTATTGTTCTCAAATTTTGTAGGAATAAAAGCATATGTTGCTGTAAGTTTCAAAGAATCCTTCATTATTATAATACTGAAGCATTGCTTTCTCCTTTTAAATTTAAAGGGACTGACTCAAGCAAGGTGATGCATTTTATATATTTTTTTTCATATCTTACTGTTTGAGATATATTTCCTAACCTTCTAACCTAACTGCTGATCTGAGATCTGCTCTGAAAAAAATGAAAATGCTTGTATTTTTAAGTAAGAAACCTGAGTATTTCCTACAGAATTTCTGGATGGAAGAAAGGAGAGAACTGGAAATGCAGATGTAAAATCAGCAGTAGCAAGAAACCCTATGAAAACAAAATATTTACAAGCAAAAACATTCTATTACTTCTGCAGAATTTGTACATATCCAGGAAGTAATGATAAAATCCATTGTGTCTTGGAATTTATTTACCCTACAGAATGGAGCCATTTAAAACTCAGAAAAAAAAATCAACAGAGCAATACTCTGAGCACCTGACAGGAGTTTAAGTGAAGGATAGTGAAGGGAAGTGAAAAAAGGATATCTAGAATTGAGACTTCAAAAGAAAAAGGTGAAATAAAGATCAAGAGAATTAGAAAATTCAAATCTAAAGCTACATTAATAAATCTGAAAGATATAAAAGAAGTCCACACTGTTTCCTAAAATCTTGCTGAACATGGCCAAAACCAATTTTCTTTTGGTATGCTCAGAATTTCATGCAGCACATCATAGTTTGTAAGAAAATTTTAGTTACTGCAATCTATATTTTGATATCGACTTTAACTTGTGTGATGGGTCAAGAGCAGAGGGAAAAACTTAGCAGAGGTTGGATTTGGTGGTTTCTGGCAGGAGGGATGTGGTTAGATCACATAGAAGTTGTGCTTTACAATGGTATTTTTGAATGATCACTATCAGGGAAGAAATCTCTGCTGCACTTATATGTGGTATTCTGGGTTACTTAAGCATCTTCCACAATGTAATACTCCTGTATTACATGTATTACTGCTTATTTCTCTTTCTTCTTTGGTTTGTTAGACAAAGAGAGAACACTTTATAATGTGTAAAGTTAGGAGTTTCTTAAAGTTCTTTTTTTATGTATAGAAGCACACATTCCATGAGCTTATAGTTGTATGTACAACTTTTTATTTATCAAAATCCAAATTTTAAAATGCCTAAGTGGTGTTTTGCGCCAACCAAATATGTGATCTGATCAGGCCACCACTGAAATTGCATCTACAAACCCACATGAACAACGGAGTGTGCATTTCTGTATTCCTGTACTGCCTGTTTGTGTTTCATTTCCTTGTGGCTGCCCTTCTCAGAGCAACTTGCTCAGTCACTCCTTATCACAGTGAATCATCAGGATCTTTTTTGGCTAAACCTGTTGGTATGTCTGCCACACCATATGGCTTTCTTACTTGGTGTTCTGGCCTCAAGAGCAGATGAATATCATATCTTGATCCCCTTGAGATGCCTCAAATTCAGAACTTGGGCATCCCAAACACATTTTTAAAGTGTATCTGGCAGAGAGATTTGTAAGCTCTTCATTAAGAGTACTTTCTTAACAGAAAATTTATTGAAAAAACTCTACTATCCATTTCTTTCTCTGCAGTGGGAAGGGTATTCAGGCAATGTTTACATCTTCTGAGACGTTAATTAGGCAAACATTTCATTTAGTTTTCCTTGAAACCTTGGTATTTTCAACTGTAGGAAAATATCCCTTTTCTACGTGTGTCTAATGGTAAAAGTACTATGCTTGTTACAATTCTGAGTTAGCATTTATTTCCTCCACTGTAGCTTTCCAATTTTGCTGGTTAAATCTTGGTGTTCCCTGTGACTATTTATTTCTCTTGTGTATATTTTCTCATGAGTGTTTGTGCTTTATTTATTGAAGTGAACATTTCTTCTTGCTCATTGACTCTTACGTTCCTATTTAATTAACTAGTGAAAAATAAAAATACTTTAAAAGTACTTCTCCCTACTGATGTTTCAGAACAAGATAATTTTAATAAATTTGAGTAGAGGCCTGAAAATCTAGACTATGTTTTGGACCCTGACATTGACTGCATTATGGGATCTTGGACAAAGCATGGCATCATAGAATGGTCTGGGTTGGAAGGGACCTTAAAACAACCCCCCTGCCATGAGCAGGGATACTTTCCACCAGATCAGGTTGATCTAAGCTCAATCCAGGGGAATGATGGTCTTGAACAGTTCCAAGAAATTCAAGTTTTCTGAGTGTACTTATTTGTGTAATCCTTATAGTGCTACTGTGAAGTAATCAGAGTGTCTCATCCTCTTTGAAAATGGAAACTACGGCATTTAATCATTAACCATTTGCATTTTCATCTGCTTACATTTGTGCCTCTGCTGAACATCTGATCAGTCACAGTCTTCTGATCAGGTGTGGCTTAGGTCTCTTTCTGGAAATGCTTTCCTTCCCACAATCACAATCCAGGTTTTGCTGGTTGTGATAGCATGGTTAACAACACAGTGAAGGCATGGCTTGGCTCGCAGGAAAACCTAAATCTGTGATTGTTATGGGAAGATAAAGAGGAAATACATGAAGTAATTGCTCTTAATATAATGTAATAACACTGTTACACGTTTTGAGCATGATGCAGGGATTGACTATGAGCTGAATTATTTGGCCTCCTCTGACTCACAAGGTTGCTGTAAGAACCAGGTGACTGGTTGAGCACTGCTAATGTGGAATAGGGAGATTGCATTACAGGTGTGAGAGAAAGGCCACTGGTACTTGTATCACGCTTCTGTTAAGTCTCACTCCCTAGAGTGCTCCCTCCAATTTGAGGACTCAGAATATAGGAGAAGCTGATGTCTTCATTAGCACTCATGGCTTCCTTCCCAAACATGGGTGGTGGCAACATCTTTCCAGTCTGCAGACAGAGCAGTAGGAAGGAATTGAACACACAGTAATTTAATTGTGGTGATTAAATGGATTTTGTTTTCTGCTAGAACTGCTGAGGAGCACGCAACTTCTAAAAACTTTGTCAAATATATGAATGAATAAGGAATAGGCACATTCTGATTTGTGATAAATCAAATTTTTCAGCTTTGTTGCAAGAATACCTTTCATGAAAAAAATCTGTTCTTCAGTTAAGCTAGCGTGTTAACAAAGGCTTTCATTAAGCTAAGGTACAAAATCTGGGGAAGAAATTATAGCAAACAAGTCTCTCTGTAGCCCAGATGGAAGGTTGTGAGTTGTGCTGCCTGTCACAGCCATTTGGATAATCATGAAGAGAAAGCTAAATGCAACTTCTACTGTCTGTGGAGGGGGGCACAATTTCAAGTACAAAATAACATTAAAATAAAAAAAAAGTAGGTCTAACTAAGAGTGAAAAGGTGGAAATGGACATTACAAATGTGTGAGGATGTCAGTTCTCCTGTCAGTGCTTCACTGTATTATTTACACCTAATCCTGTATGTTTCAGGAAGAAAGCCCCAGCTGCGCTATCTTTGTCTTATTAGGGTTAAATGGGCTCTGTGCAGAAATTCTTTCTCACATTCTAACTGTGCTTGTCTTCTCCCTGCACAGTCACCCTTTCAGATTGCTACGTGACACTGTGGCTGCCCACTGCCTCAGCGGAGAAGGTTCGGACCAGGACCATCAGGAACAGCAAAAACCCCGTTTGGAATGAAGCTTTCTGCTACAAGATTGATCGCCGTGTCAAGGTAACTGACATCAATTCTTTGCACCATTTGGTGTCTGCACTAGTCATTAGATTACACAGAACTGCAGTTAACCAATACTTACATAGCTAGTTCCAAATACAGAAGATGTTAAAGTTTCCTCAGGGAAAAAAACCCAAACTGGTGCTTACATTCTCCTTAGTATTGTTCTATTCCCCTTATTTTTTACTTTGACATGTACTATACTGCAATGAGCAAGAATTAAATGTACTTCAGAATATAGCCTTACTATCCTATCCCAAATCTTGACATAAACAAGCAAAATCCAAGAAAAAGATTGCATAAAAATAGCAAAACCACTCAGTTCTAGATATTGTGAAAATCCTTTAAGCCATTTTTATGTACCTGTGACTGTTTTATACACTTAGAACCAAAGGCCATAAAATATTTAAATTACTGCATTAAATGTAGAAACGTTTAATGCAGTAATTTATCACCAACTCATGAATGTTCTGCATGACCTGTATGTCTTGTCTGCCTGGGGAAAAGAAACAAACTTGCTTCTTTTTTGTATGAAGAGTTATCAGTAATCTGACATCTAATAAACCCAAGTCTCTCTCGTTTTTCTTTCCCTTTCTCATTTTCCTCCTTCCCATAAAACTGAAGGAACAAGGAAAGAAAACCTAGTCTAGAGATTTTCCTGCCTTAGATGCAGCAGTAACTCCACTATGTCCTTAACCTCTTTGTGCAGAACGTGCTGGAGCTGAAGGTGTGTGATGAAGACACGGTCACCAGGGACGATGAACTCTGCACAGTTCTCTTTGACATAGATAAGCTCACTGTGGGACGAACTGTCCGCGTGAAGTTCCAGCTGAATCCACAGGTGAGCAATGGAATTGGTGAGAACAAAAGGAAATTCTCCCCTTCCATCCCAACAGATCCTTTTACAGTGTTTCATTTTAGGGAACATCTATTTAAACTGTATTTTGCTGCAATTCTAAGAAATTGTGCTTTTTGCTAGCTTTTGTTTAGAACAAATATTTATGCTGAAAATACAGGATGGAACCACCTATAACTAGTTATCCACTCTTCATTCTGAATATTTCTGGGATGTTTGTTGGCTCTTGGTGTAAATTCTGAATTTTCAGCTCCTTTAGACTGTAATGGTATTAAAGAGGCTAATTCCTTTTGTTTTGGGAATTAAAATCTGAACAAATGGCTGTTTCAGCAGAATAACAGTTCTTAAGCATGCAGATGTGCTTATAAAGTATTTAGATTAAAAAAAATCATTTTAGCAACTGCTTCTTCAATATCTAAAAATTGAATATCTTCAGTTAAATCTATGGTTTTCTTACATTCTGGGAATTTTCCTAAGTTCTATTTTAAATGCATATTTAAAAAATTAGATGAAACTGCTATGCTGAAAGCTGTGAAGAAAAATAAGTAATCAGTCTTTCTTTTCTTTTATCTCCTCTCTTCAGGCACGTGAAGAGCTGGAGGTGGAGTTCACACTTCAGAACACGTGAGTAGTCCTAATTCTAATAAAGTCCTAAATTCTTAATAAAGTGTTATATTCAGTATAAAAATAGTTTGAAAATCTGGTTCATATGTGATGGTGTCCCTTAAACCTGCAGTCTCTAAAAGCAGTAGCAAGATGTTTTCATTCAAGTATAGTAAATTGAAATTTTAGAATACATACTTTTAGATTTCAAATGTCTGAAATGCGATTTTTTTTCCCTGTTTGAATTCTGCCTCTTGGGCAGCAACTTCTTCCTGTTTTCTTTTTTTCTCATTAAGGCAATGAGATACACAAAAAAGTATGAGGACAATGAAAATATTCAGGAAGTTTTGACCCTTAGGAGTGCCAAGCCTCAATGCCCTAATTACCCCCTTCTTGGGGAATCTGGTTTTTCAAATGCACAACATTATAAAGTGCACTTCCATAAGTTCATCTGCTCAATTCATCTGGCTACACATGGGGAGCTGTGGTAGAGGAAGGAACCAAATATTCTGCATAAAGTAAGGTCCAAAGACCACTGTGGGAGTCTGAGAACTGAGGAACCAGGAAAGCTGGAGGGACAGCAGTAGCTTCACTTAGTAGGCTTGAAAGATGTTGGCGGAGTTTTACATTTAGAGGATGTACTTAGAAGGTACTGCTCTTAGATGGTACTGCTGGAGCTTTCTCAAGGCATTTGGGCCACTTCAGGAGGCCTTGCAGGATAATACTTGAGTGGATACCTTGAATTCCTGACAGCAGGGGAAATAAGAACTTGCTGGTGTAAGGACAGTAGCCCAGTGTTAAGAACTGAAGAAGGAAAGATCTCAGTGCTCACATACAAAAAAACTATCAGAGCTGAAAGAGTCTCAGAATCCCTTTTTGCAACTCATGGAGACTCATCAGGGTGGATTGTTTGTTGTTTACTGTGCACCAGAACTGGCAGAAGGCCAGCAATACCAAGGCAAATGGTGCCTGTCACATTGCAGAAGTGTCACAACATCAGTAATGGCAATGGGGAAGCTCCAGCAGGCATTGCAGATATCCTGTCTAGGGTCCTCCCTCTTTTGCAAGTTACAGGATGGGTTATGGAGTTGGTACAGAGAATCACACTCTTGATAATCCTGTCTTTAATGGGGGAGGTCCAAGTAGGTTGTCTGGCTTGGATGTTGTGCAAAAGTGGGTTTGTGTATGTATGGGAACAGAGGCTGGAACTTGTCTTGGAGCATGTGTGCCACCAGCTCTGTGCCAAACTCTTCTCACTGACCTCGCAGCCAAACTGCCTTTTCCTGGAGTTGTATTCAATAAAATCAGAAGTGGGACAATTTTTACAAGTGATGCCTGAGTAGGAGTTCTACTGGTTAGAAGATGATGATTGGAACTGTACCATTAAAATGATCCTTTGCAATCTAAAGGGAGAGATTTCAAAAAGCATTTCATTCATAGTGTGGTTCCTGAGTGACCAATGTAACAGTTATGGCATGAACAACTCCACATGCAAAGGCAAGAAGGTGCTGCATTATAAGGGAGGGGATGTCCCTGTGAGCTCACAGTAGGACTGAGAAAATGGGCTTGATGCCAGAAGGCAGATAGACCTTTCCCCTGCTATTCCTCGTTCACATTTCTTGTGTTTGTGTGGTGGTCAATGCTGTTCTTCCCATCAACTGAGTCTGGAATTAGGGCTGGATTTGGATCCACACCTGGATTGACTAAATATGTGGTCTTGGGAGGATATTGAGAGGGTTGGTTTTTTCCCTTACTTTGGAATGTCTGATGTCATGAGTAATTAATGAAAGGATTTGTCCAATAAAATTGTGGACAATGGATTGCATTGATAAACTAGAGAGCCCTGGAAAGGTCTGAACAATTCAAGTGAAGTAGTTGAGGTGGGTCATCAGAAAGCTATGGACCCAAACCAACCTCTTCTGTGTCAAACAAGCTCAGCAGGTTTTGGCAAGATTTTTTGTCAGTGTGGGATGGGAGAAGTGTTGACAGAGATTAGAGATAATTTTCAGTGGGAGAGAGCCCTCTGATAACAAGGAGTACAGCTAAGCATGTGGGATAGTTTCTAGAAATCCTGTATTGTGATCGGAAGAAGAAGAACATGCATTTGTGCGGGTGATATGGCAGTTTATTTCTGAAATTAATGACTATTCCCACAAGCAATTTTTCCTGATGCTCTTTATTCACAGTTTTAAACTTCTTCCCCATCTTTGTTCTAGATTTTACTAATTGCAAGGTTTGTTACATTAGCTTGTTCTTTCTTTCCAGCATTTTGGGTGAATAATACCACACATGACGGGTAACCCCAGGCCAAGAATGTTTCCTGGGTTGCACCTAGTGGCTTTGCCACTCCTAGTTTTGTTTGCTTATAACTTCACTGCAAAGGTTGTATTTTGTGGTACCTCTACCAAAACCAGCACTATAACAATTACCTCATGTTACACTGAAAGGCTGTACGATAATTTGTTCCTGCATCCATTCCTGCTACATTTTATTTAAAATGGAAGAAAAGCTTCATTTTGTTAGTGGGTTTCCACAACAGCAAGATGAACACCCTCTCTAGTTTTGCCTCACCCTTATGCCACTGCTGCAGTACCAGCAAATGCTCACCTCTGCTGCAGAGTGGCAGGCACTGAGGGCCAGATGTTTGATCCTAAGGACACAGAGAGGAAGGCATGCTCCTTCCTCCAAGTGCCTTTTCACCAGCAACCAAGCCAAGGGATTGCAAATGCCTGCCCAATGTTTTCTGGGCCCATTACAGGAGCCCAGCTGGCGGGAGAGCTGCTGCGCTTGGGCAGCAGTGACAGAAAAGGTAAGGCTGTTGTACGCAGGCTGCTGGTTCGTGTGCTTTAGTGCTTTTTGAGCTGTTCTCTGGTGATTATCAGCGGTAACCTGGGCTTTCTGCTGTGTCTCCACGGGCAGGGTGCAGCACCAGAACGAGCCCATCCGTGTTGCCACAGGCACGGGGTCCCGCTGGAGCCGGTGGCTGCGCTCGCTCAACATCCCGCTCCCCTCCGACTTCTACTGAGGGCCACGCCTGACACTGAGGGCCACAAAGAGGCTTCTGCTGAACTGCCAGGTGATTTGAGTTTCCAAGGGAAGGTCTCAGAGCCCCAGGGTATTTTCTGTACCTGCTGATCCTCTTTTTCGCCTCTTTTATCTTTCAGGTGTCTCAAGCTGAGGAAGTGCATCTCTAACAACTCTTAGAAGAATGAAGGACCACTCTTACACAACCTTTCATCTTTGCTCCCTCTCCCTTTTTTTTTTTCAAATGTGAAAGACTATATTTAAAACAAAGCCCAATTAACAGAAATAAATGTAAATAGGTGTACAAAAAGCTGTATAAAACTTAAATATTTAATTATTGAAATATGGCAAAAGCAGGATTTTTAGAAAATAAAAGTCTTTTTTTTCTTTCTGTAGTTCTGCTGTGTTATTTTGAGAAATCCCCCTCATGTGAAGGGGGAGCCAGCAGATCATGCCAGCCATTTGGCTTGGGCACTGCTGAGAAACCCCCAGGCTGAGTCTCCATCAGCTGGGGGCCAAATGCACTGTTTGTATTTATGTGTGGAGGAGCACTGAAGGCAAAAGTTTTAAGTTAAGAAAGAACCTTTGAGATGAATACAGCTTTATTTACTGAAACACTACCATCCCCCCTGCTTCACTTGAGTTGTCAGAAAGCTCATAAAAGTAGCCTACATTATTATGGAAGCTACTAAAGGAAGGGAAAGCTGGATCTGACATGAAAGAATTCAAAACTTTTAGATAAGTATCAAAAATTCAGATTCTCTGGTGAAATGGAGTTTAGCAGCCTAAATGAGAACTGCAATATAAGAATCTGTGTGACTGTAAGTTCATATTCAAAATTACTCATTCCATTATATCAGGCATAATCCAAAAAGGAGAAGGCAGAAGTTTTATGTATACCAGGTGATGGGAAATGATCCCTGGATTCATAGAGTATGCTGCAACCTTAGGCATTCCTGCAACAGACTTTGAGTGGGGAAGGATGCCCAGGGTCTCTGTTTTTGTCTTTCCCTGCTACAGGTTGTAATATATTCCCAATTCTCCTAGTGAAACTGAAGCCTGCAATAAAAATAGCCCACAAATCACAAACTGTGATGGAGAAGAGAACAGGAGCATAACTCTGTGTGATGAGAACTGTCTAATAACAGATTGGTTATCAGAGAAATTACCAGTAGAACTTATTCTGTGCTCCAAAGGGTAGGCAAAAATTCAAAGATCCCTGGCAACCTGAGCTCTTCTGCACCCAGTTCAGCTACGTTTCTAGCCACAGCTGATTTCCTAAGATTCAGAAAAAGATGAGAGCCCTTGCTCTTCTTAAAACAAAGGCATGGACCACCAGGTCCACCATACTAACAAGCACCTGGACTTCCTTACAGGGGTGGCAGCAGAGGTGACAACCCAACAGAGACATCTCAGCCATTGGTCCTTCATGACTGAGGTGTCCTGGTTCTTCCCAGGGGTTCTTCTTGCAAGCTCTGCACTGTTCCGTACAACAATGCAGGGTCTCCCACCCTGTTTGAAGGCCATGCCTTGCACCTCCTAACTTTGAACCTAACTTTACCCGTTGCTGATACCAGCAACTCAAATAATACTAAACTTTACTGGATGTTTACCTCCATGAACAGATATCTTCACCTGTCTTTGCATTTTCATTTCACCAGGCTATGCAGGCTGAGGTCTTCTAATATCTATCACGCTGTTTCTTGCTTTCCTTGATTTTAATGAGTTATTTGAGGATGGTGGCACCATATGTCATGTAATGTTAGAGCTGTTTGACTACAAAATAGTAATTAAGAACAAAAATTTGTGTCTGAAGCAAAACTGGAGTGGTGCTTGCACACATTTACCTGTATACAGATGGAAACACTGAGTATATTTTCACCAATTCCTGACCAATGTTCTTTGAACTCTTTAGAAATACATTTCCAAAAAAAATTTACAAAATTTTAAAGTTTATGATTGCGGGTTTTTGACCAGAGGTGTTTGCTTGAGTTTGTTGTTGATGTTTTTTATAATTGAAAGTTTTTCATGAATTTTCTGAAGTGTATTTAGCCAGTTCATGTTTTTCTCTTAATGGAAATACTAATATTCTCTTAAAGAAAATACTGACTTGGAAACAAAACTTTAAACTGTTTATGAGCTTTTCAATGTTGAGCGAATGCTATCATGTGTGTTTATACTTAAATCTAATCGTTTTCACTTTAAGTGGATAAAAACAATGTCATTCACCTAATTTTAAAGGAATTGTATTGTTTAGTTTCAGCTGAGATAAAATACATATATCAAGCATAGAACTATATGAGAACTCCAAATGTGTAATCCATGGCTTGTAAGGTCAGAATAAACAGCTCAAACTCTCTGCAGCAGATTGGGGAGTCAGTGCTCAGTCCTTGTCAATAGTCCATACATATGTACATATTCTCTTTGGAGCCATCTCAGTTCTTAAGAGATTATATGAATTTACATCTGTAATTTAACGAAATGGTACATTATGAGATATCCTTAATGAGATACTGCCTGATATTTCTGATGGAAAATATTTTAGAATATAGAAATTGTTGGCTGCAGCATGTGAATTCATCCCTGCTCTTAGATGTGGAAACACATCTATACATACAGTGATCTATTACTATCTCTTGTGTGATTTGCAGATCACTTCATAGAGGTAAATACAATTTTTCCTGCCATTAGGGAAATTTTTTTATAAATTGTGAAAAGCTAGGCAGTTGTATTAGACAAAAACCTGGGTAAAACTGTGAAATGCTCAAAAGAATCAAGATGCATTTAACAGCTGCGGCTGTTCTCAAAATCAATGCGTCTCATACCAGTATTTATTGCATGGTTTACTGAAGCAAATGTATAAGACCACAGGAGTATAAATCCACCTTCATATTCTGAGTGGATGGAAAAACCTGAAACTCAGCTCATCATCTAATCCTAAGCTTTAAAGTATTTTTGAGTGAGAATGGTAAAGTCAGAAATGTCAAAGGTCATGTAAGAACTAATTTGTTAACCATAGACTTAAATATTTGTCTGAACTTTCCCACCCGTGACATTATCTTCTTTTTTATTTTTTTTTTTTTCCAGTCTGGACTACCCAGATGGCATTATTACGAATGGAGTACTAGTGGTAAAGTACATATTTATTGTGATCTTTCTTGTGTCTGAATAACAAATGTTCATGTTTCTAACTCTGGAAACTTTGAGCTGTGTCCCAAACCCAGTACTGCTGCCTACTTTCTTCTATAAATGATAGGCTCAGAACTATCAGGAGTTAATTAAGAAAGTGTTACAATGCTCATAAAAATAGTTCCATATGTTAATACACTCATTATTTTGAATAGGGCTCATCTTCTTTGCTTAATTGTCTCTCCAAGTTCAAGCAGTTCATGAGTTGTTTCTCTTTATTTCAGTTTTGGAAAGAAATACCTTATCATTATTGTCCTCGTGTTATCTGAAGACATAGTAATAGATAATAATTGTCTTGCTCATTGATCAACCAGAGGGGTTGGTTGGGAACAGTATGAATCACTTGCAATGGCATTTACACTTCTCTCAATCATCATTCGTCCTCTCTTGCTGCAGGCACGTGATGTTTCCTGTTTGGAGGTTAGAGTGGATACAGGGAAGCTGAAGCAGCAATCCACAAGTGAGGTTATTGCTTCATTAGCCTATTGTTCTTGTGTTGTGATTCAGCCATTATATCAGATGTTGAAAAAAAATTAATAATCCGTTGTGTACATTGCTCTATCTGTGTCATATAATACTTAGTTTTGCCATGCCCCACCTCGCAGAAAGATTGTATCTGTCAGAATTCAAGTTCATCAACTGCTTAGTTATGAGGAAAATGTTAAATTGATGCAAAAATAGAGCCAGGTATACTAGACTGAAAAACTTGGAAAAATGAGGTTAGTTCTTTTTTTTTATTGTTTGTTCAAAACATTTTTTTTCTAAGTGGGATCTTTAAAAATTATCTCACAAGTAATATGTAGGAATCTTATCCCTTTGGTGCCTTAATAAAAAAAAATTAACCTAAGTTTAAATACAAAGTTGTATCAAAGGGGTCTTGGCAAATTGCAGGGAAGCTCTCTGCTACCATAGACTCACCAAAACAGTACTTTGTCTATAAAATATAGCTCTAACAAATACAACAGGATTCTTCACTGGTTTTTAAGTTGATTTAAATGAACCGTAGCTTGTGTAATGCTGTTCCTGGGGGAAAATCTCAAAACCTCATGACTGTTCTGAGTTAATTTGTGAATGGAAAATTGACTTCTATGAAGAAAATGGTGGCAATGACTAAGTTGCATTATAGGAAGTTTCAGACTGAGATGTAACAGAGGAAGGAAAGGTTAGTGACCTAAAATTATATGTCTCTTAGCCCTGATCTTGCAGGAGAACAGCGTATGACCTCTCTGGAAACATAAAGGCTTTTCTGCACAAGAAACTCAGCCTGCTGCTTGTTTCAGTTTTGTGATGTGGAGGCACATGCCAAGTAGTCTGATTGGGTTGTGGGTTTATAGATTTATTTGTGAGTCTTAATATTATAACATGTTTACTATGAACCAGAACAGATTGACATCAAATAAATTACTTTTATGCAACATGAATAATCCAAAATGCCTCTGACACTCCTCTAAATCCAAATCTTGGTTTAATTTATTCATGGAAAGCATCTAACAAATAGAAAGCTATAGTATTTTAAAAATCTGTGAATTCTGTACATTCATTATGTAGAGTCACCAAGATATTTTTCATCAGTTTTCAGTCTGTTTTTGCCACCTGAAGTCTACTTAGTCATTGTGGTGTAAGAAAAATTCAACAAAAAGTGAAGATTGGGTTTTTAAATTAGTTATGTGTGTTTGCTTGTAATATTTAAAATTCTGTTTGTTCCTTGCCTCTCTGCTTAGACCCAGAGCTTACATTTACAGTGAAAGGATCACATGAAGGAAGCCAGAAGATTTTGCTGGACTCTGGCCCCAGCCTTCATATAATCATATTTCACTGCATCATAAATGACCAGACAAGACTGGATATCATATTACCAGAAGAGGTAAGTTCTCCTTCTGTTTGTTATTATTACTCAAATGAAATCAGAACAAAAAATTAATAGAACCAGTAAACTGAACTAGGCTTCTGAGTGGAGAAGTTCTAGAGATGATAAACCTTTTATGTGTTTTGCTTTTTTACATTTTTTCAGTTGACTGATGGAAATGAAACAGAGAAACCTGGGGTCCTTTCTTTTCCCCTGAATTCACTCCCTTTACAGAAGGAAATAACACTAGAAGAGGTGAGTGCTGTGAAACTTTTGAAATATGTAATTTAAAATATCCTTAATATTGTCCTGCTAGAAATAAAGTTACCAAGTAAACAAAATCACTGTATAAAATTGTACAGCTATTCATTAGAAATGTTAACAAAATTTAAGATTACAATATTCAACTTTGAGGAAGAACATGTTAACAATAATTTTAATAATACAACAGTCATTGCAAATCTGCATCCTACTGTTAGAATTAAGTGGTTTCAATGAACAAGAAATGACTGTAAAATGCACATTCGTTCAAAACCACATTGGTTTTTTTTTTATATTGGGGTGATACAAGCAAAGAACTGAAAAAGAACCATCCAGATTATGAGCTTAATTAAGATTTTAGTTTGTCTTAATATTGATAACGGGACTGCTTTTGTGTGGTGGTTTTTTTTTTTCTTAATATGATAAGGTAACTTTTCTCATTCTTGTTGCCCCCTCTAAATGTGCAAACTGGGAAGCAGTGTAAACATGCCAGCTTGTGGCACTCTACCTGCCCCAAACACATACAGGCTTATTAGAGAAGCGAAAATTTGATTCCAGGGCAGGGAGTGAGGCTTTGGTTAATTGTATAAAAATAATGTCCTTAGCCATGTGATTTATTATTTGAGAACCACCTCTCTTGGTCTGAGCACTGCCCGAGCTTGAAGGGAAGGAATGTTTTAAAATTTGGTAGTAATTACCTTTACCTTTCTCATTTTCCAGGATAATTCATTTCACTTGTGCTTGACAGCAAGAAAATGGTAAGATAGCCTCTTTTAGTCCTGGCCCCCAGGACTGCTGTAAACTAGTTCTGTAGGCTTTTTCTGTGATAGGTGCAGAGATGAGCACGTACTGTGTGAGTGCTGAGTGCTGTGCTCACTGGGGCCCGAGGTAAGTGCAAGTCTGCTGCACTTAGAGCACTGTGCATTCTGCAGGAGTCCGTGAGCCTTCATTCAGGGGAAATTCGTTGGTTTTATGCCTTTTGTTCTCACTCATGAATAAAACTGTACCATTCACTTATTATTTTATTCCCCATTTATGCCAATTGTCAGATCTGCACAGGGGGTGAAATAACCTCTAGCAGTCTCTAACTTTGCCAAATCACCAAAACAAACTTAGGGTAGCCTGGCTTCTGCCCCTTCTGCTTCACTGGGCAGAATGGGAGCTGAGACCTGACCAGCTGCACCTCTGCCAACCCACTTGCAGGGACAGAATTGCACCAGTGATAGGTAAAATTGAAGACAGTGGCATTTTACGGTAGAGCTGAAAACTTCCTATGGTTCACAGCACCCCCATCTCATCCCTGTTTGGGATGAGATACAGAAGGAAAGCGTGTGGATTTTCACAGCACGAGAAAACTTTGTGTAAATGGAGAGCTACCTGTACAACCTCAGCCCATAACAAATATCTGACTTGTACATTTAACAGACACACATATAGAAAGAGAGCAAGAAAAAAATGTTAATTTACTGCTCAAAGAGTTGGGTTTTTTGTAAGGTAAATCATTTGACCTTATTCTCTTTTCAAAATTACACTGTGTGATAAATCAAATTTGCTGGAGAAGAAAGGTTAATAGCATTAATCCTTGAAGCATTCATATTTGTGAAATATTGGTGAACATTATTTTCAGGACAGAGTTTGCAGCCACCAGAGGGTGATGTGATCCAAAAGATTTGGTCAATATTTAGTGTTATTCTCAGTAATAAGTGTATTTATGTTGCTGTAGGCACATAACATTAGCTGCAATTTGATTGGATTTCCACCTTTTTTTCTGAATTTTCTTTTGCTTGTGCTTCACATTTTTCAAGGGACAAAATTTCATGTGTCTGCGCATGTGAAAAAGAAAGTGATGGATATTCTTGTATTATTGCAGGACGAAGCTTGTGAATACTTATCTAGGAATATGTTCAGGACACAGGTGAAAGGCTGGAATTCCCAAGAGACTGAGCTGGGGGTGATGCTTGCCCTGCAGTTCAAGCTTTATCACATAACTCATTAGAACTCTCACTTTAAATGCTGTTAGTGGATTGTCAAAACCCGAGAACAAGTGATAATGTTGGCACTTGAATTTTCCAGGGTGTCTTAGTGATAAACAGGAATGGGTGCAGAAAAAAATACTTCTGAAATTACTCCTTTTGGTGGTCTTTCCCTGACTTGTGTGTCTTGTCTTTTTGTCCGTGTTCACAAGAGATCTGCAGTACCTTGGAAACTCCTCTTCATCCACACTGCTATTTCTTGCTGGCAGTAGAAACGGGGTGGTTTTGTCTTTCTTCTTTCCTTTATCAATATGCAGACTTGGAAATAACTTATTTTACAGATGATTTTTTTTATTACCTGCCCTACAGATCTTGAAATCAGCTATAAATGATGTGTGCATTGATTTGTCCCATTGTCTGTTCCAGCTCAGGAGACCTGGATGTGCGCTTGGGGTTTAGCCTGTGCAGGGAGGAGCAGAACTTCCTGCGGAAAAGGAAGAAATATGTTGCTGCTGCTCTGAAAAAGATTCTTAATTTGGAAGAGGATCTGAAAGAGCATGAGGCAAGCCAATACCTGGTAGCAACTGCTCTCGGGGGATCAAGGCCTGGCTTACAAATTCAAACAACAAATAAAATCCCACTGTAATTAGTCCTGCTGTTGTGGGCCAGGCATGGTCACCTAGAGCAAGGCATGAGCAAGAGAAGCAGTGGGCTGTTAATGTAGCAGAGTGAGGGAGGCAGGATAATGTCTTTATGGAGCCAAAAACTTCTCAGCAGCTCCTCAAACAGCCCATTCCTGTTTATTCTGGGTATTGCTCCTGGATCTCAGGAGAAAAGTTTATAGGGCAGACATGGAACAGCTGGGCAATGCTGCTTGCAAAATAGAGGGCCTTAACACAGAGACGAGGTGGTGGCCATGGCATGTGCGTAAAGGGCGTTGAGGAAGAAAGAAAAATTTTCACAGACATCTGAATGAAAATTCTTGGAGTGGCTTCTGCAGCAAAATAGCTGTATTGTTGGGAAAAATGAGGGGTAGAATACAGCTATCAATCTGGCAAAGAAGAGTGGATCTTACACTATCACTGAGTTGTAGATGAAATAGCTGTTTGTAAGTTTAGCTGTATCCCTCTAGACCCTGTTCCTGCCCTGTAGTTGGGTCATAAGCTTTGCAACTGCTGATGCCTAACTGGGTTGCTGACAAGCAGAAAAGTACATACATACCAACAGCAAGAACAGTTCAGCTGACAGTTAAAAAAAAATTCTGTGGAAAATATGATTCAAAAATATTAATTTGGATTTCAGAACAGAGCATAATACAGGAAACAAGTTTTCAACAAAGCTGAAAAGAACATTTTCAGCCATTTTTACAAGCTGTCTGAGAGGTTCCTCACACACAGAAAACTCTTTTCTGAAAGGCCTAATTACTGTGGCTCTCCTATTCATGTGTTTAACTTCAGAAATACGAGAAAATATCCCCTCTACTTTATTAGCTGACTTATATTTGAACTGAAAAAAAAACCATTAGTATTTTAACTTATTAAAAAATAGGTTAGAAAATGTAAACCCCAGAATATAATTTCTGGAGTTTATTCTGACTTTAGCTAATATTACGAGATTTTCCTCATTATTTTATAAAATTTCCTATATTTAAAAAGAGTTTAGGGTACGAAGAACATCTGTTTTCTCACTTTTCTGAGGTTTTGTTTTTTTCATAGAGGAGGAGAATTATTTTCTTCAGGCTCTATTCATTGACTTTGGAACACAGATTTCTTTATCAAATTAGAAGCTAATACTTGAAAGGTATAAATAGACATTTTCCATGGGGTATGTAAGCATCCACACTCTGGTTGCTAACGGAAGCAGAGGGTGTACTAGATCAGGAAAAGATAAGGAGAAGAATAGTCTGTCTCTTCAATTACACTTGGCTCATGGAGAGGGAAACCCTATCAATGACTGTGCTTCAGGACATAAAGTAATTGGTGGCCAGGGGCCAGGAAGACTTTGGCTATTGTGTGGTCTGGCTGATTACAGGGTGCTGCACATTCCTGTGTGACACTGGTCATTGTTAAAGGCAGAATCATGGATCCCTAACCTGCACCAGTGTGGTAAATCCTGTATTTTTTTCTGTGACAGCTGCTAATAATACACTTTGAGAAAAATTCCAGGGTGGTGAGGTTGATTTCCAGTTGTATGTTAAGTAAACACCTTCTCACCCCATCAGAGAGGGTAAGACATAAGCCTTCCTTCTTGCAGCAGTCAGGTGGTGGCAAACAAACCTTCTGCAGCAATCACATCCTCTCCATCCCAAGCAGCATCCCTGCTTGTATCAATTACAAGCAGGGATGAGCTGTTATCCGATTTCTGCAGTAGGGGCTGTTTGTGTCTAATTGATGCACAGCTTTTGCTCCTTCTGCCTTGCTGTGTTGACCAGGTGCCAGTGGTGGCCATCACCACCACCGGGGGTGGAACGCGATCCCTCACCGCGATGTACGGCAGCCTGCTGGGCCTCCAGAAACTCAACCTCTTGGACTGCATTTCCTACATCGGGGGCTTATCGGGTACCACATGGTGAGAGGGATGCAAACAAGCTTTGTGTGTTCTCTGCTCAATATGTTGGCTCTGTACAATACTGTTAGCTTATATGGCACTTAGCAAGGCAAAAGCATTTCTGTTCTGCCCACTCTCTGTCCACCTGGAGCAAGGAAGAAAAACATACTGAGTAAGAGATCAATCATCACACTCATCAACTGCTTTTGTCAGCTCACTGACTCAGTTTATGCCTAATATCTTCATCTAAATGCTCTATTCCCTTTTCATATTATATCAGTTGTACCTTAGACTAAATACAATAAATTTGTCTTTAGACTGGAAATTGAAGAAAGATGGGAAGAAGAATTTATGCCTGCCATTTGCTGGTTATTCTCACTTCCATTTTGGATTTACAGTGCATCTCCCTCTGGTAAAAGATGTATTTGGGGCTAGAGGAATTAATATTGTCACAAAAGGCCAACAAATGATATTAAGTTACTGAGAGACTGCAGATACAGTGGCTTGTTGTGAAGTGCTCTCTTCTCCCAGTGGGCATAGAGCAGATGATGCCATAGTTAAAATAACCGAAGTATTTAATCAAGTAGGTTCTAGGTACCCCACTCCTCTACACCTGTTTGGAAGTGGAGAGTTTTTTTTCACTGAGTTATGGGTCACTTTATCTAAGTCCAAACTTCAATGGTAGGTTTTTCTTTTGACTTCTCTGTATATATGTGGAGATCTGAATCTACCTGTCTGTGTTATGATTTCAAGGGGACAAGTAAGAATAGTCATACAAGGACATGCCCAAAACTGCCAAGTTTTCTTGGTGGCAGAAGTCATTAGCAGATATATGGGAACAAATGCAGGACCAGAGCAGAGGAGTAGTGACTGCTCCCTAGAATACTCCCTACCTTCCAAGAAATAGATTAGATGAATACTTGTGGAACCTTTGAATTTAAAAGCCTTGGGTCTTGGTTTCTTTTCTCCCTTGAATTTCAAGGTAATACTTGAGCCCATTTTAAAACATCCAAACCAGGAAAACTTGGAGGTTTTGTTTGCTCCTGAAATGAGTGTTTTTTAAGTGTGAACCCCATAAGAATTAAGAAACAGGCAAATAGGTTGCACATCTGTTTTTTGAAAGCAAACCACAGCATTATGCCTCTTTCACTATTTTCTCCTAACATTTCTTCAGGACCATGGCAAACTTATATGAAGATGCTAATTGGTCACAAAAATATCTGGAGGATGCAATCAAGGAAGCTCGCAAGCAAGTAACGAAATCCAAGATCTGCTGTTTTTCTTTGGATTGTCTGAAGTACTATTACAATGACCTGATGGAGAGGACTAAAGAAGGACATAACACTTCTTTCATAGACCTTTGGGGTCTTGTCATTGAATCCATGCTACACGATAAGGTATTGCTCCTTTCTTTCACATAATTGCAGAGCTTCTATAGCTACAGTGGAGAAGAAAATAAATCCTGTATGCCATTCACTAATACTGATGCAAATAATTAGTTTAGCAGTTGATTAAATATGATATATTCAGATGCATTATTAAAACACTGCTCTAGATTTAAAGAGAGCTTGACCTTGAACTGAAGGAGCCATGTCATACCAGTTAAAGGTGTTCTTTCCCCTTAAAGAGAGAAGTACTCTGAGAAAAAATATTTTGAATTGTAAATAAATAATTTTGGACATAAAATATTCTGACTATAAGAGGCACTTAAAATTTTGAATTAATTTGCTTCTCCAGCATAAATTATGATATGCATTTATAAAGTGACCTAGGTATAGAGTGCATATGGTTCACATAGTGAGAAAGACCATTTTCTAAATATCGCACCAAGTTTTAAGAAGTTTTGTTAATTTAAAAATAGTGTATCTTAAACAGTTACCTTCTGGTTGAAGTTTATATAATAAAGTTTTAAATGGTCATGTGCAATAGCATATATTCTTGAATATGTATATATTTGCAGAATATCATAAAATTCTTTTCTAAGACCTAGCCAAGGAAAGAACTTTACCTTTCACTTAGCTGCATGATTTTTCCTGGAACTGGTTTGTTGTTGTTTGTTTTTTTTTTTTCCTGGCTGAATCTACAATCAACTTCTCTGCATATCTCAAAATCTGAGAACCCATATAGGGTGTAGCTACTTCTTATGGGATACTTGCCAAGTTTGGAACATCCCATGACAGATATTTTGGAACAATCCAGTTACCTGGGAATGGAAAGGAGAACTTAGATAAGGCTGGATAGGGCTGATAATTCACATTATATTATTTGAAATGCAAGTTGTTTTACACCTCATTCCATTTACCCTTTTAACTCAAAACCAGAAAGATGAGCACAGACTCTCGGACCAGCGTCAGGCAGTGGATAATGGCCAGAATCCACTGCCCATCTATGTGGCCATCAACCTCAAGTCCAACTATAGTGCCCAGGCATTCAGAGGTAATGGTTATGATTTAGATTTCTTAACAAATTTATAATTTAAATGGTCTAAACTAAAATGATGTGGATATAAACAGCCTTATTAGTGCAATAGTATTTTCATTCTAATTGCAAATAAAAGCCCCCCCAAAGTCAATAAATTTTCAGATAATAGTGGCCAAACCAAAAAACAAACAAACAAAAAAAACCCCAAAATAAAACAAAAAAAACCCACAAAAAACCCCCAAACAGAACAAAAAAACCCCCAAACAAACAAAAAAAATCTTATATGGTTCCATTTGTTCTTATTTTGGACAATTACAGAAAAGGTTTTGAATTTTTGGGACCAATGTCAGGTAAATTACTATTTCCTCTATTAGTTTTCACAGTATTTAACATGAGCAGCTAAGTACATGACACCAAGTGAATGCCAAGCTCTCTGTCACTAGAGCTCTAAAGGCAACAAGTTATGCATGAGCAACGCATGTTTTGGGGTAAGATTGTCTATTAAGGGAATGCCTGTGGTTTCATTCAGACCAGGGCTTCTTTTCCTGGAGGTTGCTCTATCACAGCCTGGAACTGCCCTGTCACAGTGAGATGCCACCTCATGTTAGCAGTACTGCCGGCAATTCCGATACAGCCATGGCTGGTGAATGGCATGCTGTGAACTAACCAGCATCTTTCTTGTTGGGTTTGCTTCCTGGAACTCTTCTGTTTAGTATCATCTAACACGTCTAACATGTTGCTTTTTCATGGTCTGGCTGTTGTTGCCATAGAGTGGCTGGAGTTCACTCCTTATGAAGTTGGTCTGCTGAAGTACGGAGCATCTATTCGTGCAGAGCACTTTGGAAGTCAATTCTTTATGGGAAGGATGGTGAAGAAGCTCTCAGAGACCCGGATCTGCTATATGCAAGGTGAATGTTGCCTTGGGGAAAGGTGGTCTGCTGGAGAGACCGCTGGTATGGTGAGCACATGGTCTATGGTGGACACCACTGGGAATACACCGGCAGACAGGTTGAGCAGGTGTGAGTTTACACTAGCAAGGATGTACTCATGAAGTATGCCCACAAAGGCATCTGAACAGACAGAAAGGAAGTATCCAATGGGAAGAACTGAAGGTATGTATCAATTAAGATTCTTCCGAGGCCACTCCATCAATCAGCTTCTATTCCTCTTTCCTGTTATAGGCATGTGGAGTAGTATATTTTCCATAGATGTGATGTATGTCTGGAATTTGGCTGCTGATTCAGAAGATTTCTGGTGCAGATGGACCAGAGACAGAGTAAAAGATATAGGTGAGATTTTAAATTTTTTTGCACCACTGGTATATATTGTTTATGTTTTGTGAAGATGTCTAATGCATAAAGAAATTCTGTCAGAGAATAAAAGATGAGGAAAGAAAAGCAGAGATGACAACTAAGAATTTTTTTCTGCCTGATTTAAAACTAAATTGCTCTTCTTTGGAAAAGTTGTGTAAAAGCTGTGCCTTTTCCTGAAGGTCATACAGTCACAAAACCAGTCTCTTTCAGGTATATAGAAATCATGTTGTATCAAAAACACATCTTGAGATTGTTAAATTAGGATATGGTCCTCCTTGGCCAGTAATAACATGGGTAGAGAGAATGGCTCTTGCAGAGGGCTGATTTCTCCACTGAACTACCCATGGGGAAAGCTTGCTCTTGCTGTTAATTGCACAGGCAACCTGTAGTGACTGGTCTCCTAATTTACTTGATGCTGAGGCTGGGTGACACATGCATTTTGAAGGTGTCCTGTTGACAGGTCTCCTGTATATTTTGGGACTGCTCTCTCTCCTCCACCACACGCTACAGTGGAGGTGGGCATCATTTGAGGAAGCTTAGAGTGGAAGGTGATCCTTACTGCCTGGCAGCCTGCTGCCTGCAGGTAGCTGGTCATTTAATTCACTGTCTAATGCTGAATTTTATTTGGAGGCATAGACTTTAAGGGCTTATAATTATGTTTGATTAACTTTGGAGTGGGGGAAGATGATACCTGTTGTTATTAGTCACTCCATTTTTCAAAATACTAGACATTTCAGAAAATTATCCTAAACTTAAAATGACTTCTTTTCATCTTGCAGCAGAAGAACCCTTTCTGTCTGTGAATCCCTATGAAGTAGACACGTGTCTTTTCACTCCCTCGAGTGTCTTCTCCTCCACTCTGCGAGATGTCTTAACAGGACGCCCAACCATTGCACAGTATCCCAATTTTATCAGAGGCTTCCAGTTGCATAACAAGTACTTGGAGAGTGAAGGATTTTCTACCTGGAAAGGCACAGTAAACTAGCATGCTTTTCAGTAATATTCTAAGGTTTAGGTTTCAGAATTCACTTAGGATTTCCAACAAAGAGCTGAGACTGACTTCTGAAATGCCACTTCTCCCTTTAAAAATTGCAAACATGAAAGCCAGATTTGAACAGCATTTCAGTTTTGGTGGGGGGTGTTGAAGAGTGAAATTATACCTGCCTGTCTGGGGATTATGTTCCCGTGGAAAAAGTGAGCTCAGCCTAAGACAGCACGAGAGATCACCCCTCTAGGGGTGGAGCAGCATGAGGTGCTCAGGAAGGGGGAAGGAAAAAGCAGTAGCATGTCACTTAATAAGTAAATAAGTACAGCTAGAGTGAGGACAAAATTCTTGATTCTTTACCTTCCTTCAGAGGAGAAATCCATTCTTGTGTTTTATTTGTAGTAATGAGAAATAATTATGTTTCAGACACAGTGATAGACTCCTTCCCAAATAAACTGATGGAAACAGCAGACAGTGACCTCTCCCTGGTTGATACTGGCTTTTTCATTAATACCAGCTACCCACCACTTGTGAGATCAAACAGGGAGGTCGATGTCCTCCTGCATTTGAATTACAGCGGAGGGTCCCAAACACTGGTAAGGAAAGCCATGGTATCTGAAATCGTTTTCCTTCATGTCCTTTTGGTCTCTGCCAATTGTCAGTATTGGAATGTGAATTACATTATTATTATTATTATTATTATCTAATTTATTATTTAGATCATTAGGCAATTGATTTCTCAGTAACTAAGAAGGATATTAGAAGATGATGATGGATATAGGCATTTCAAAATCATCAAGATCTTCACTGCAATGTATCCAACAGTTTTTAAAAACTGATGGATTATATTCTGGATTATATTATAAACTGATGGAGTAGTCTGAAACTCGTCTACTGATTTTGGTTATCCTTGTACTGAACAAACTACAAAGGCAATGGAAAGTCCTGAAAATATTTTAACAGACTAAATGAGAAAACCTGTCTTGGCCTTTATATCTCATACCAGTCCTATGGAAATGTAGCAGCTAATGCCAGATGGATTCATAATTTGAAATAATATAATAGTGTTGCATGTATAATGATAATAACACAAAAACAAACATAGGTTTATAGTAAATATAACTCTTAAAGTTTTTTTTATGAGGTCACAAGGTATGTTGATAAGTGTATTTATTAATAGGGAGTCATTATCAAGGAACACCAATTATGCAGAGAACAGAAAGACTGGGAAAGTGGTAAATAATGAAGAATTCAAGACAATGATGAAGACTAATCTGGACTGATGTGTTTCTTCAACATTCTTGTAGTTTCTTTTCTTTCCCCTTCTGAACCTCTTTCAATCAGACCTGTGGGTTTTGGATTAGTTTTCAAGTTCAGAGAAAGTGACTGCTTTCTTGTTTTGCCTAAAGCAGTGTGGAAAATAAGATAAGCTGCAATGTCTGGTGTGGTTATGATTGTTTCCATCTGAAATTTAATATCTTGCCAGAGGGAGAGTCAAACCTTGGGATATTCATTTTAGCTGCTGCAGTTTAAAATATCCAGGTCTCTGTATTAGTTTTCATTGTTTGTAATAATTTTATATATTTTTTTTTTCTTTCATCCAGCCTCTGGATCAGATTGCGAAGTACTTCTCAGAGCAAGAAATTCCATTTCCCAAAATTGAGATAAGTGAGGAAGACCGGGAAAACTTGAAGGAGTGCTATGTGTTTGAAGAGGCTGACAGTCCACAAGCTCCAACAGTGCTTTTCTTTCCCCTAGTAAATGACACTTACAAGAAATATAAAGCTCCTGGTGAGTCATCTGTGATAGCAGCTTTAATAAAAAGTTGTTTTCCTAGTGAATTCTTTCAGTTTCATATCTAATGTGTCTGTCACTGTCATCTCTGACCTTTCCAATGCCAGCATGGGTCTCATTACTGAAAAAAAATAACTGCTCTGTCTCAGGACATCTAAACTATATGAACTCCAGAATCTTTCTTAAAGCACAGGCACTTATTTCACAAGAACTGCTAGAGGTAGTATGAAAGCAAAAATTCTGATACTTCTACACCCTGAGGGGTGGGTTCTGAAAACAAGGTGTTTTTCTCTACAGATATGGACTTGTCATGCACTGCTGTTTGCAAACAAAGACAAGGAAAAACCTTCTGCTGGTTTTGGTGTGAAACCCATTCATTCAAGTTTTTTTCACATATTTAAAAGTAATCTCTGAGACTGAGGTTTGAGTGGGCAGCGATCTTTGATTTTAATTGAATTATGTCCTCTGTCTGAGTGCAATTATTTCTCCTGATCTTTCAATGAGGTGGCTATTATTTTGTCTAGTATAAGAGTATCTGGTTTCCTTTTTGCTTGTGCTTTTCTAGCTAGGTGAAAAAGTCTATGTTGTTTCAGCAGTGGTCTAGCATTGCTGCTGCTAATGTTCTTCTAACTTCAAGCTGTTTGAGTGATGTAAATGTCAAATGATGTAAAATCATATTTGGACAAAGGCTGAAGAATACAGTGCTACTAGCACAGTACTTTTACTTGCCTCTGGCAAATTACATCTTTCCTTCCAAGTGTTCCTTTTTTACCTGTAATTATGTAAATACTGATAGGAGCCACATACTGCAATAAAACCTTATTGGTGCATCTCCCTGTGGTTTGTCCCCTTAGGTGTGGAAAGGAGTCCTGAAGAGATGGCCGAAGGCAAAGTTGATGTCTCCAGCATCCTCTCCCCATTTACAACAAGAGAGGTGTGTTTTAGTGAAGAGAATTTTGACAAACTGGTGAAACTGACAGATTACAACATCCTGAACAATGAGAAGTTGATTATTCAGGCCTTGCGTTTGGCGGTGGCACGGAGGAAGCAGAGGAATTTTTAGCCACCACACACTACCTTCAGTCTTTCATGTGGTATTTCTCGGGTTGTCTGTGTTTTGGTGAGGTCAAGATGTTTGATTCTTATCAGTGATACTTGCAGTGGAAATCGCATCATCCTAAGGACATTCTGGACTCCACCCTATTTACATGGCTCTTCAGAAAAACAGATTGGAATTTACCAGTGGTTTAATCCAAAACAAACTTCAAAGCAGTAAATTTGTTTTTAGTTTTTTTTACCAAGTTACATTACTAATTGTTACATATATTCAATATAAATTATTATAATGTTGTGGAAGATAATAATGAATTATGTGGCCTATTAAAATTTGTATCAAAAGAGTATTTATATGGTGTGTTTTCTGTGTGGCAGGGCAACAATCCCTTGAATTGTAATTTTTTTGTAAGTAACTAATTCATTGGGCTGGTCTTGCTTATTTAGTTATTGAAGGTTGTCATCTCTGATTTGATTGTCTTTCCACTATGAGATTTTTATTTAACTGTCTTCACAAGTCTTTGAATATAAGATTCTGAAGTTAGTATCAGTTAAAATTTATACACTTTTCACCATCAATAAAGAATTACCCCTGAATTAGATCATTTTTGTTTCAGGAGATCAAACATGTCCTCTTTGAGCTGCTGTTCTCAGACCCATTTAGATTTAGCCTAAGCAGTAGACGTGTTGCCCAACTTTCCTTCATTTTTCTCTTGGAGTTTCTGCTGATTGTCCTGTCTCACTCATCTTTACTAGCCTTCACTGTTCCTGAAGGATGACCTTGTGATTTCTCTCAGTGTTTCATAAGATGGGAAGTGGCTGCTAGCTGTTTGTGCAGAATAGGGCAATGCAAGAGACCCTTTCATAGCTTTCACACCTGTTCAACACTTACATATAGGTGGCCATTGAATCTTAGTATGTATTGTATAGGTGGCCTTTGAGCCATAGTGAAATATATGCATTGTATGAGTGGCCTATGAGTCTCAGTAAAATATATGTATTGTATAAGCGGCCTTGCCCCGATCCTAGTTGTTCTAAATGGGCTGCAGCTGTGGCTAATGATAAACTGTGACAAAAGGGTGTGGGTTGGCCAGTCAGGGAGAGCCTTGGAGGAGCCCTGATGAAGAAGCAGGAACAACACTGCTGTGAAGAGCTACTTGTGAGAAAACCACCCACAAGGTATGGGACTCTAGATATATCATAACAACAATATGATAACAACACTTACAGGAAAATGGTCTTTGCAGACAGTAGTTGCCAAGACTCCTCTCTCAGCTCTCTAACAGGCAGATCACAAGCTCAGTCTTTCACAACATCAGCCTTGCACTGTGGAGCTGTGATTCACGAAGAGATTAGTCACAGGTGCTCAGAAAATATTCTGGATTAGCTTCCTTTTGTTAATAAAAGATTTCCACTGTTGTGAGGAAATTCAGACAGTCAGCAGGGCAGAGTTAGTGTTGAGATCAGGATAGTCTTGACAATCATCAGAAACAACAATTCTCGTATAGAATGAAGTTCTAGATAATGAACAGTAGAAAAGGATTATTTGATTTATTCCTAAAAAAATAACCAGCTGATGGGCCATCTAAGAGCCTTTTGGGTGGAGGGGGAGAATGAGAGGGCAATGTTTTTCAATTATGAGCACGTTCATTGTGTTCATATACCCAAAACTCTTGAAAGAGCACAGTGTAACTCTGATTTCAGGTACAATATTGTAAGTTTAAATCTAGATTATTGTCCCTCCAAGTGTAAGGCAGCTGTAATTGTGGTTCTGCTTCAGTACACTAGAATAGTTAGTTCATGGGATGCTTCTGGGTTCTTTCTAGAGATATCTTTCAGTTTACTCTCATGGTTTCCTAGACCTTTTTGCTGGAAATGAAACAAAGTAGGATTGAGGATGTTTCAGTCTGTTTTACAGGGGAAACTTGGTCAACAACAGGATGGAAAAAAGCCAGGAAAGTGCAATATGCGGGCTGAAACTGATTAATGCTGCTTTTCTTTGTGTCCTGCTGGCTGACACGAAACCTGCTTTTCCCTCTCTGAGAGTTCCTACTACTCTCAAGCTCTTCAGTTTCCCCAGTGTTTCAATATTGTCTTTTTGAAACAGAGTACTAATAGTGATTGTTTTTATATATATAAATATAAAATTGTTAATTTCAAGATATTCAGGATGACTGATAAAAACATGCAGGCTTGTAATCAAGCTTTTGCCATCTCTCTAGGAATATTTTCCTTTTGCGTTGACTTCCTTTTACTGCTGCTTCTGTGATCTGTTAGTTACCCATTCTTAATGTGTTCAAAATTTGTCTGGGTGACATCTAGTTCTTAGGTTAGAATGTATTAAAGTGCCAAATATTTTAGAAAATAAAATTATGTCATGTCATTGAAGTTACCTTTATCAATGGGTTCTCAATTCATTGCAAAGTGAAATGAGATTATTTTGGAATTGATTGATCTGTTAATTTTTACAGTAGCAAGGATGATTTTAAAAAGACAAAACCAAAATCCAAACTCCCATTTTTTTTACTTCTTGTGTACTAATTTTGTCTACTCCCTCAATGAGGCAGGGACCACCTCACATGCTGTGTAGTGTCCTGTGCAGTGAAGTCTTATAAGTGTGAAGACATAAACAGCATGTGACAGCGTGAGGAGTGATTAATATTGATTTCCACATTTATTTCATCCTCCCAAATATATCCTCTTAGAGGTTGCTCACAGAAGCAACTTAATTCAGATGCACAAAGTAACAACATGTCTGAGAAAGTAAGTGAGCTTTTAAAGCTTTTTTTTACAAGGGAAACTTTCTCACAGGTTCCACAGGTTATTTGGGGAATTTTTTCATGCAGTATTTGTCACTGCAACATCTGCCTGGCTGAAAGACAATTTACTGCCTGAACAGAGCAAAATGGAAGGTAAGATAGAGATGACAAAATTTCTTTCATATGTGTCTTTAAGCAAAGAACACAGACTCCCTAAAAGCAATGAAAGCTATAAAAAGGCTTTTGTACGCACATTGGTCTGTTTGGATGCCCTTGGCCAAAGTCCTGGTCCCTGGCTGCTGCCAGTCACTACCCCACAAGGGACTGCAGGTTGACAGCTCACCTGTGGGCAAGAGCATTGTGGCCTCCTCCAAAAAGCGATGAGGATGCTTAAAAGTGTAAACCATTTGCTCAGTGCCTGTAACCTTGAAGGGAAAATCACTTTTCAGTCTTCATTTCCCCCTCACAGTAAGTGCAGAGACCTTCCTTCTGCAGCGCCAGAGACAGGGGCTTTGGTGCAGGTGCGCACCCCGCGCTCCGCTCCCGGGCAGAGAGGATGAGGAAGAGGAGGAGGAGCCGGGATTGCTCAGGTGGCGGTGGCGGGGTGAGGCTGCGCTGAGTCAGGCACTCACACACCTGCCTGCCGGCTCCTGGCCGCTTAAAGCACAGGAGCTGCCTGCCGGAGGCTCCTTCGGACCCATCCACTAGCACGTTTCACACCTGGCTGCGACGGGAAAGGACCACGATGGGGCTGTTCTACAGCAAGAGCCAGGTGAGAAAAGGCAAGAGGAGGCTGCCTTGGGGGCAGAGGGGACCTGCTCCACGAGGGGATGTTTCACCTCTTGAATCTTCAGCTCTGAGAATTATCCTCAGCAAAGCAGGGTTTCCTTCTGACTGGGTTTTGTGACTACTTTGTGTTTTGGCCTTCAGGAATGCAAAAACTTTTTTGATGTAGTAATTTATTGTTTTGGAGATTCCTAATTAATTTTAAAAAATACCTTTTTGCTTCCACCTGACTGGGCTAGGAAAAACAACGCACTGAGGAAAAATGAGTTATCGCTAATGTCAATGAATGCATAGGGAAAGTAAGGAAACTAATAGTATATGAGATGTTAAATATAGCTCTCTTAAAAAGTGGGTCAGTTTTTGGGCATAAGGGAATGAATGGTAATGTACTGTTATATACTGATCTATGTATTTGTTGCAGTGATACTCCCTGCTCTGTAGGTAGTGTGCTGTTTCCTCACAGGTTTGTTAAGTGTCTTTTGGTAACCACCTTTAGGTTTCGGTGGTTTCCCAAAATAATAAAAAGGCTTGGGTTGGAAGGAATCTTAAATCATCTAGCTCCAACCTCAGCCCCAGGGGGAGGGATATCACCCACTACTCCAGGCTGCTCAAGGCCCCATCCAACCTGGCCTTGAGCACTTCCAGGGATGTGGCACCCACAACTCCTCTGGGCAGAGTGTTCCAGTGCCTCAGCGCCTCTCAGTAAAGAATTTCTTTCTAATATCTTACCAAAATATCTTTTTTGGTTTAAAGCCATTCCCTCTCATCCTATAACTAGCTGTGCAAAAAGTCACTCTTCCTCTTGTTTAAAAGCCCCCTTAAGTACCGAAAGCTGAAAATATTTCCTTTGATACATTCCTCAGAGCTTTGCTTAAAGGAAGATTGAGTGGGCTGAATTATTCAAAGAGAAGTAATTAACTACAGAGTTGTGCCTTTCACTCACTCCTCCTGACAAGTTTGGGATAGTCTCTGAAAGGCCCTTTCTAGTCCTCATTTTTTAAAAGCCAGCACTTGTGTCTCTATATCAGACATAAGAATGTAATTATGTAGCTATAAATCAACTGATGTGCAGCATCATTACACCATGATATCGTTACTAATTCCTGCCCTGCTAGATTGTTTGCTGTTTGTTGTGAAATATAATGGATGTATATGACATCCTGTGAATTTTCTCAGACCAAGATGTGTGTCAGCTGTATTAATAACACAGCAAGGTTCTTTATCACCCCTTTCTATGAGATTGGGTTGTAAGAGTCAGATACCTCAAGCTGAAGGTTTACCACAAGTGTTCTCAGAATGGACAAGGGAGGACGTCAGAGGTCTGGTCTGTGGTCACACTTGGCTACAAACCTTCTGGGAAGAAAGCAATGCACAAGGAGGAACCTTTCTGAAATGTTTTTGTTGCTTGGAACTGAAACACTAATTCAATTCTGTCTCATGCTATACTTCTGTTCTTCCTTTTTGCATTCTCATCGCATGCGTTTTGTGTGCTTTTCAACAGACAGAACCATCTCCATGCAACTTGCTCACTGTAAAAATCATACAGATGAAAAATGCCAGGAAAGCAGACTTGTGTGAGTATCTTGGCTATACCCCTGGAGCATCCTCGTGCTTGTAAAACTACTCTGAATATATCAAGTGTCACAAACACTAGAGACTACATTTAAAAGGAGAGAGATAGAGGATGTGTGATCCTGGTATGCTGAAGATGAGACAGCACAGTTAGAAGACATTGTTTTTCTTATAACTTTGTCCATATAA